TGGCAGTTTCTGTGTGATTTATGTCATAAACAAGTGAAAGTGTAATTATATTTTCAAATAAATTTAACTCTAAATTTAATTTTGTATGTTGGGGTAAAGTAAATAAGGAAATGCCAAAACAATGGCATAATTCGTAGTTGTTATTGTTTGAATGTAGTTGTTGTTTGATTTGTGGCATTATTCGAAGTTGTTGTTTGATTTATGGCATAATCAACTAAAAGTTGTATTACATTTTCGAACAAATAATAATTGTTTATGATGATGTAAATAGTAATACAACTTTTATTTGTTTATTGCCATGGAGTGTGAATGTATATGTGCTTATTGCCATGGAGTGTGAATGTATTGTGAATGTAATGACACTTTATTTGAATTGTTGATATTATGCCATAAAGATGTCATGTTTTTCCATATTGTTTGTTGAATAGTTGGAGATAGATGCATTTAAAGAATACATAATGACAAAATGTTGGAACAAATCCTAATAATGTGAAGCATAAGTTATGTAAATCACAAATAGAATAGTCATAGTTTTGGAAAAAATATACTCTATTGTGAATATGATGACATTTTATTTGATTTCTTGGTGTTATGGAATAATGATGTCATGTTTATCCAGATTGTTTGTTTTATAGCAGTTGACACTTTATTTGAATTGTTTTTTTTTTTGCTAAAATAGGTGATTCAGAGATCTTTCAACGAAAATGAATTGGACAATGTTGAGAGCATGCGAATTAACTGTTACTGTAGTCTGAGTGAAGTCGTGAAGAGAATATTGAAGCAACTGAAACCAAATGAGATAGAAGAGTTCAGAAAGACAGTGTTCGGATGGGTGTTGGATGTGGAAGAAATGCGAACTGTCAGTGGTCAACTTCAGCTTGGTTTTCTATGCAACTATGTCAAAAAGGTTAACCACATAAAAGAGACAGAAGTCATTCGCTTCCACATCCAAAACAGTCTAATTAGTTTTACAAAAATAGATTTATGCATTGCATTGGGATTGAAAATGGGAGGTGTGAAACCAACTTTAGAAAGGAGATGAAAGGACCTTTTTGGAGAAAATATTTTGGAAAAACAGGTGTGAAAAGAAGCGAGGTACAAAATGCATTGATGAAATATAATAGTGAAGATGAAGGAAGTGAAGAAAATGATGGTGTGAAGCTTGCTCTACTCCATGTGCTATCACATGGATTATTTGGAAACCAAGTGGCTAGGGATTTACCAAACTGTTATGTGAATCTGGTCGAAGATTTAGAGGCATTCAACACATATCCATGGGCTGATGATGTCTAGGCAGATTTGGTGACCAACATGAGAACAATTTCCAAGAGCCTTAAGAAGTGCAAGGGGGAACGTGTGACTCTACCAGGTTGTCTAATAGCATTACAAGTATGGGCTTTGGAAACGTTTACAGGGTTAGCAAAGGCAAATATATGCAAGGTCATTGAAGGAAGAGAAACAAGAATTCCAAGAGCAGTGAAGTGGGAGTTCAAAACAAAGCCGCATATGGAAGTTTTCTGCAAGATAATCTTCAAGAACAAACAGGTAAATTCGCTCCGTTACTTATTATTTAAATAACATGTGAAGTGACAATTAATACATTTAAACTGTATTTTTGGATCTTTTACATGCAGTTTAAATGGGAAAGGATGCAGGCTACAAGATTGGAAATTGAAAAATTTCCAAATTTAAGGGCCAATAGTGGTCTTATAGTTGGAAAAAGAATTGAAGGTTTGGAGGTATTTCAAAAAGAGAGAAGAAAGGGAAAGATAAGAAAGCAAGGATTTCAAAGAGAACTGGGAAAAAGGGAAAAAATGCAGATGATGTCGAGGTAGAGGGTGACGATGAAGGGGTATTGGGTTTTGGATATGAGAGGAAAGTGACTGTTGTTTTGAGACAAGTCAGGAAGCTAAGCAAAGAAAATGCCAAATTAATGGCAGAAATGAAACTAATAAAGAAAGCACTGAAGAGGAATGAGAGATTTCTTAAGCAAATATTGGACAAGTTAGACAACCAAGAGAAGGCGAAGGAGACAGTAAGTGAGGAGAGTGTAGATGAAAGCAGTGATGGTGCAAATGAAAAATCAGAGAGTGGAGATGAGACAGAAGATAATATTGAAGACGATGGTGCAACTACAGAAGATAATACCAAAGATGATGCTACATTTGAAGAAGATAATGCTGAAGATGATGGTACAGCTCCAGAAGATAATCATAAAGATGTTGTTGCAGCTCCAGAAGAAAATGTTGAAGATAATGCTAAAGATACTGGTGGAGCTCCAGAAGATAATGATCAGGTGGGTTGCAGTTTGCCAAACTTTAATATTTTTGGGCCAGAAACACGAGAAAAATTTAAGGAAGCAGATGATGGTGGAACAATGGAAGAAGAAGATGTAAGTGAGAAAGGAAGAAGTCATGACAAGAATGTTAAAGATGCAGTAGACGACGATGGAAGAGTGGATGAAGAAGGTGAGGGTGCAAGAGTAGAAGAAGCAAGTCGGAAAGGCAAAAATAATGAGAAGACTGATAATGATGCTTAGGGAGATGTGAACACCCAATTTGTGAATGAAATGATCACAAGTGTGGATGAAATAGAAAAACAAATGCTAGCTGAAGCGAGCACAACTGCTGACATCAATGCGAAAAGTGGTAAGATTTTTGTTTTACAAACCTTAAACAAAAAGAAAATTAAATAAATGAAGAACTTTATGTTATATGAGTAGTTATGTTTATTTTTTATTTTTTTCTTGTGTTGGTTTTACTAGCAGCATATGGAAAAAGGATTTGAAGAGAGTGAGATGAGGGAAAGCAGAACAAAGCGTAAAGAAGTGAAAAAGGATGTAAGTATATTTTGGAAAAAGTTCCAAATATTTGAAAAAAATTCCAAATATTTGGAAAAAGTAAACTATAACATATTACTAAATTACAGGTGAAGACCATATGCGCACAAATGCAAAGAAAAAAGCGCAATGTAAGGACCCCAGACCGATATACACCTGGAGAAACTAAAGTTCAGGCTAAGAGAAGAAGGAAGCAAATAGCTAAGAGAGATGCAGAGGGAAGTTATTTTCCTCCAAGAGAGTATGGACCTTTTGCGGAAGATCCGACTGAGAGACCACCAGAAGAAGAAATAAAAAAGGTGGAAGAATATCTAAAAGTTGGTCTCTTGAAGAAATTGAAGAAAAAGGGATGTGATAGAAAGTACAGGATTGAAGAGGAAAACATGCACAATGTCCTGTTTCTTCTGGATATGCACAAAATAGAGTCCAAAACGTGGCTGTATAAGTTGTTTGTGAATCCAGAATGGCTAGATGATACATTAATGATTTACTTTTACTACTAAAACAGTATGTTGTAGATCTCAATGTAAAATATAGCGTTAAAATAGGTACTGTATTAGATTTATAACATTTGATTTTGGTTTTAAATTTGTTTGCAGCATATTGATGTGGCAATGTTTTACTTGAATATGAAACAAGTGCACTACAACATCAAGGGCCCCAAATACACCACATGTGGCCCATTTTTTATGCAAGTGCTGAGGCGTGAAAATGAAGAAATTAAGAAGAGTGAGTCTTCAATCCAAAGTGCAGTAGACAATCCGGTAATTGCAGACGATATGTTAGGGATTGCATATCCTTTTGATCGAAGTTGGGCACAGTCAGATTTCGTGTACATACCTCTGAATACCGGAAACCACTGGATACTGCTAGTTCTGGAAGTAAAAGAAAGAAAAATAAGGATTTACAACTCCAACAGCAGAAGGGCAGATTCCTTAAGAGAAATCAAACCTTATGTGCCGAGCATTGAGTGCTTTCTTCCAAAAATAATGGACATCCATGGAGTGTATGAAGAAATTGGGCTGGAACCAATGAATGACAAAAAGATTGAGTTGGAAACTGTGGAGGACTGCCCACAACAAGATGACAGGTAAAATATGAGTTTTAGAGCTGGAGTATATCATAATTTATAATATTTCATTCAAAACTTATTTCTGGTTTTTTAACGGTGTGTCATCATCACAGGGGGAACTGTGGCATGTACGTTTTGAAGTTTGCTGAGTTTCTTATGATGGGCATGGACATAAAGGAGGTAAGCTCAATGGACATGTGCATGTATCGGGAGAAAATGACAACATAGTTGGTTTTGTATAATGCAAAGAGAACAAAGGAATGTAAAATGAAGGAGGCAGCTTCGAGAAACAAGGCAGAAAAAGGATGAAAAATTACAAGTCTAGTCTGATGATGCTTTACGGATGTTATGTTTGTAGTATTTGAATTTTATGTAATGGTGTTGAATGTTTTTGCAAACTGTTGAAGTAAACTTACTATTGTGAAGCACAATATGCTGACATATAAGTGGCAGAATGTAGTATACTATGTTTTTAAATGCCTAAATATTGGCATAGTTGGGAGAACATTATATATGACATTATATTTGGTTCATTATGTAGTCACATGGATATAAATTGGTTTTTTTAGTAATGAGACAAGTATTAAAATAACATCTGGAAAGGGTAACACGTACACGGCTGGATAATAATCATGTCCATAGTGGCAAAATGTTCTATAATTTGGTTGAAAATGCCCAAATGTTGGCCGTTTTGTAAGATAAATGTTTTATATTGTGAGTTAGATATACATTGGATGTGTTATTAATTACACAAGTATTACATTAAAATCTGAAAAAGGTTAACAGGTAGAACACTCGATTATAATCATAAGTCAATAGTGGCAAAAGGTCGCATATTTTGTTTGAGAATAACTAAATATTGGCAGTTTAGTGAGATAAATAGATTAGATTTATTATATAGACATTTGCATATACATTTGGGTTTTTCTATTAATGAGAGAAGTATTACACTCAGAATGAAAAAGGTTAACAGCTAGACAACTGAATTAGAATCACAAGTCAACACATCCATTTACTTTGAAATGAATGTCTGGACTGCAAATATATGTGGCAGAATATATTGTACAACGTTCAAAAATTCAGAAATATTGGCATTTTAGAGGAAAAATGAATAGAGCCAAAGAAGTACATAGCAATTGTAAAAATTGTGCCACAAAAACAACATATTACCTACAAATTAAAATCAATGTCAAACATTTGACATTAAAAAAACAAAAAGTAACACAAATGTTAAGTAGTTTACATGTATTAAAAGAAAGGTATTGTAGTATAATATGCCCTAAGAAAACGATCCAATACAAAAATAACAAGTATTGAATTCAATGGAATCATAGTGAAGTAGGTAGTGGTATCACATTGCGACAAGTCTTCTTATTGTGACCAACAACATGGCACCGAGAACATTTTTTCCGTTTTGTCCCACGATGCTCACCAATAGATGGTATCCTTGACTTTCTCGGACGACCAACTGGCATTTTCTCACAAAGGGGAGGCTTGCAGCGAATGCTCAAAACATTGGAAGGAACCACCCAAGATGAGGGGTCTATAATTGGATGCATAACAGCACTCCAAGTAGAATACCAATAGTGGCGTGTGTAATATGGAGAAATAAAATCATAGCACGACAGGTGAGGTCGAAAACCAATAACCGCAACAGCATCAATGCAAACAAAATGAGACAATTGAAACTCCCCACATGTACATGCCCTGGCATTGAGATCAACAACAAAAGAACGGGAATGTCTATCAACCACTTCAAATTCCAAATATGAGTACGACTTTACCTAGAATAATGAAAAAGTGAACAATAATATGTAACTTGACAATGGAAAAGGACAATGCAAAAACATATAAGAAACTGTATGAAAAATCTGAAGGTGGCAGAATGTACCATATGTTGTAGGAAACTTCCAAAGATTAGGCATTAATATAAATGGACAGAAATATTGCAGAAGAAAAAACAACTAACCCTGAGTTTCCTAGCTTGACTTTGAAGTGAAACCAGTAGCTTTTCACGTTTTTTGTCAAAAAAGAGGTTGTCTTCTCAGCCTTTTCCTTTCTCTCAGTGAACCATTGTTGCATTCTTACTCTCAAAGAGTCAATGAGTTTAGCGACAGAATACTCCCTTGCTGAAACATCTACATTGTTCATTGACTCTGCACAATTTGATGTCATTATATCATACATACGAGGACCACACACGCATTTTGCCCATTTATGACTGCCAATTTTTTCTAGCCATGGTCGTATACGGGTATCTTCGGAATCCAACAATGCCATGTACTCTTCATACTCCTTCACAGTTGAAGCCATATAAGCAGCTTTGAACTTCCAACCTAAATCAATCGCGGAGCCCTTGAATTTAGAAATCATGTTACGACGCAAATGCTCAACACAATATCCATGACTAGCATGTGGAAAAATCTTTTAAACTGCACTAAGCAAGCCCTTATGTCTATCTGATACAATGTACATGTCCTCGCGGAACATCAATGCTTCACGAACTTTAGAAAAAAACCATATCCAAGACTCTTTAGATTCTGAATCACATATGCCAAATGCTAGTGGGACAATTTGGCCATTTGCATCTTGAGCACAGGCTGTGAGAAGGGTACCCTTGTAATACGCCTTCAAAAATGACCCGCCTGCAATGAGAACTGGTCTGCAATATTTCCACGCCTCCCTCCAAGGTAAGAGGGATATGAAAAAATAACGGAAGGTATTACCTTCTGAAGTTATAAGAGAAATTAGAGAATTTGGATTAGCTTTTTCAAGAGCATACGCCAAAGACGGTAGCAATTGGTATGAGTCAGAATCTGTTCCAAACTGTTTCTGCATAGCTATCTTCTAAGAAATGGAAATACCATGATTCAGAAGCATGTCTTCCCTTATTTCATTTGGCCTATAAGGCTTTTTTGACGCATCCAAAAATTTATGCAATACAAGCTCTCCAACAGTGCGGTAGGTCGCTTGGCGATGTTTGCCTTGACGAAAATCAAAAGAGCACGTATGTGATGATGTAAATCTGCAGAAAACAAAGTACTAAAAATGTGAATATGAAAAGAATGTGGAAAATATGCCAACATAATGGAATAAAAGACAGACAGAATGGTTCACTAAATATACAGTAATGGAGAAATACCTTTGTATCTGAAACATTTGGACACCACGTAATCTTACAGCCCTCACAGCCCATTTACATTTTTTATCCAAGCAGATAACGTGTAAACATTTCTTCTTTGATGTTAGTGTCCTGAATTGGAACACATTATCTATTGCGTATAGCTTCAAATGGTGAAGAAGACCTGCTTTAGAATTGTAAATAGCATGCAATACAATCTGAGTGGGGTGATAGTGAGTGATGACATCGAGATTATGATGAACAGAAAAATTGTCATTACACATTGAAGAAGGTGACGGGGTAGAGCTAACTTCTGGGGTAGGACTACAAGAGAGCACATCTGTATTGGTCATATGAGTTTGGGAAGTGTCTGTAACATTGACCTCATTATTAACTTGGACGTAATGTTCTTCAATACTGTTGAAAGAAGAACGAATATGACCAGAAGATTGATTTAAGAAACATGGGATTTCTGGTAGAACAGTTTGTGCAACAGAATTTGTGGGACAAGATACAACAGGTCGTGCAACAGGTTGATCAACCAAGAATTCCACACACAAGGGAGATTTTTGAAAATCAGTTTGAAGAGACTTAAGATAAAGGTAAAAACGAAACGTTTCCTCATCATGGATAGAAATAGGTGGAGGACAACCATCAACAATGTAAGAAAGATTAAAGTGGTTATTTGATTTGTAAGGAGAAAATATGGAAGATAATTGTTCCATGAATGCTGTGTAGTTAGCAGAGAAAAGAACTTGCATAGCAAAGGTGGATCTGCAATTGAAGTTGTAGTCATTGTCCCAAGTACCATCAACTTTCACCATAAGCAGAAGAACAGGATCCATATTGACAACTAAGGAGAAAAAGAATAAGAAACAGAACTAAAAAACGTCATAAACCTATAGCAAAATGCCAAGTTTATGGCAATAACAAAGAAACAGAATTAAATAGCAAACGATTCAAACAAAAGTGAAAGCTCAAATAAAGTATAATCGCCAAAGTAAAGGCAATGATTTAGATTGTGAACTTGGTCAAAAAAACAGTATAACAAAAAAGGCATATAACCTTATGAAAATGCCAAGTTTTTAGCAATAACATCCCTAACAGTGATAAAGCAATGAATCTCACATGAAACAAGACATTAGAATTTGTTTAAGAGTAGAAAGGATGATAATGTTAATAAAACGAAGTAAGTAGCAAACGATTCAAACAAAGGTGAATTCTCAAATAACAGTATAATCACCAAATTAAACAGAATGATTGTGATCGTCAACCTGGTCATAAAAAAATACAAACGACAAATTGAATTTCACATACCAGCAAGTATAATCGAACGGATTGCTAAGTTGAGTTGAAGAGATGATCGAACGGATTGACCTTGAATTTGTTGAGTTTCAGAACTCGTCGCACGGAAGAATAGCCAGTATAATCGCAAGTTGAGTTGAAGAACTGATAGAACAAATAGGACGGTTAAACAAAGAGCTTATTCGGTTGAGTTTATTCGGTTGCAGAGCTCTGATCGCAAAAGAGGAAGTTAAACGAAGAAGAAAGGCGGTGGCAGAGTTCCGATCGCAAAAGAATAGCCAGTATAATCGCAAAAGAATAGCCAGTATAATCGCAAGTTGAGTTTATTCGGTTGCAGAGCTCCGATCGCAAAAGAGGAAGTTAAACGAAGAAGAAAGGTGGTGGGAGAGCTCCGATCGCAAAAGAATAACCAGTATGATCGCAAAAGAATAGCCAGTATAATCGCAAGTTGAGTTTATTCGGTTGCAGAGCTTCGATCGCAAAAGAGGAAGTTAAACGAAGAAGAAAGGCGGTGGCGCGAGCAACGGATAACTAACGTATTAAACTGACAGGTATTATGTCGGTACTAATATTATGAGTTAAACTAGACTTAAAACATAACAGGGGTAAAAAGGGAAAGCTAAAGTAAGCATGTTTCCAAATAGGACTAATGTGATCCTATTTTGAATTAAAAACATAAGTAATCTTATTTTAGATTTTTAAGCTAGTTTTAGTCTTATTTAAGCTAATTTATGTTAAACATACTGTTTTTCTAATTTGCATTTGCTTCCTTGTTCATTGACCTGAAATGAAGCCCGGTGGGTTTGACTTACCGACCCATTCCGCTCCTAGTCTCCTACAATGAAACGCGAATGAGCAGCGCCGAAAGCTCATGTCATTTGCTCTTGGCCAGCTGCAAGACTCTGAAATGCGTCCAGCAACTCCACGCTTACGTTTGCAAGGCCGGTCTCGAATCCGACCAATCCATCGCCGGGAAGCTGCTCAGTCACTGCTCTGTAATTATCGGCGACGCACTCGACTACGCTCACCGCATCTTCCTCCACACCCCGAACCCAGACGTCTTCATGTACAAGACGCTCATTCGCGGATTTTCTGATTCGGACCTTCCTCAGAATTCCCTCAAGACGTTCGTAACCATGATTCGGAGCTCGCAGTCTCCTCCCGATAGCTTCTCTCTCGCTTTCGCTCTCAAGGCGGCCGCGAACATGAGGTGTTTCAAGAGTGGGTCCCAGATTCATTGTCAATCATTCTCTCGTGGCCTCCATTGCCATCTCTTTGTAGGGACTACCACGATCAGCATGTATGCCGAGTGTGGGTGCATACAGTTTGCACGGAACATGTTCGATGAAATGTCCGAACCGAATGTGGTTACCCGGAATGCGATTCTTACTGCTTATATCCGGGTTGGTGATTTGCGCGGTGCAGAATCGATGTTCTGTTTGATGCCTTTGAGGGACTTGACTTCCTGGAATGTGATGCTTGCTGGGTATTCCAAAGCAGGAGAATTAGGCTGTGCCAAGAAGATATTTGATCAAATGTCTACAAGGGATGCCGCTTCTTGGAGCACCATGATCTATGGGTTTTCCTTTAACGGCTATTTTGATGAATCATTTTGGCTTTTCAGGGAGTTAAGGAGGGATGGAATGACTCCCAATGAGGTCAGCCTGACAGGGGTTCTATCTGCCTGTGCTCAATCTGGGGAGTTCGAATTTGCTAAAGCCGTCCATGGATTTGTAAAGAAAGTTGGACTTATGTGGATTGTCTCAGTGAATAACGCACTGCTGGATATTTATGCCAGGTCTGGGAATCTCGGGATGGCCCGTTTAGTCTTTGAACAGATACCAAGGAAAAAGAAGAGTTTGGTTTCTTGGACGTGTATGATTACTGCGCTTCTAATGCACGGCTATGGTGAAGAGGCGATCCAACTTTTTCAAAAAATGGAAGCTTCAGGAACTATTCCCGACCGGGTTGTCTTCGTTTCAATTCTTTGTGCATGTAGCCATTCTGGGTTACTTGAAGAAGGACAATATATTTACGAAAGAATGACAAGAGTATATGGCATCGAACCAGATATCGAACACTATGGCTGTATGGTTGATCTTTACAGTAGGCGTGGAGAGTTAACAGTGGCATATGATTTCATCAAGCAAATGTCTATTCCCCCAAACACTGTCATTTGGCGGACTCTTTTGGGGGCTTCTAGCTTCTATGGTGAAGTTCAATTAGCTGAACTTGTGAAAGAAAAGCTTTTGGAGATGGATCCAAACAACTCTGGCGATCAAGTTTTGTTATCAAATGTTTATGCGGGTGCTGGGAAATGGCAGGGTGTTGCAAAAGTGAGGAGATCTATGAGTGAGCAAAAAATGAAGAAAACTCCTGGGTTTAGTGCAGTTTAAGCATACCATTATGCACATAAATGGTTTGCAGCGGGTTAAACATTTTTTTTGAAAGGAAACAAACTTATTATAAATAAACCAAACAAGAGTAACAACCATGTCCCAAGACCTAAATCTCCCTCTCTCCAAACAATACCAAAGCCCAATGGCCCTCCCATTGTTTCCTTTCAATGAGAGCATATAGGCTATTAGCGGCTGAATCAGCCTGAATCAGCCTGAATAGATAGTGTTTGGGAGAATAGACATAGAATAGCCCGCCCCGAAAAGAGCGAGACTAGTCGCTGAAACAGTGAGAGCATATAGACTATTAGCGGCTGAATCGGCCTGATTGCCTCCAACCAAAATTCTACCTGCTACACAAAACCAACACACATACCCTTCCCCCTTATTGTACGACGACATAAAGACACAAGCAACAAGCAAATTCAGTCTGAATAGAAATAAGCAAAAAAAGTAAAACTTCAACCGTTGGATCTTTTTTGCATCCACTTCTTCTAAATCCTCCATCCATGGCGGCGGCTCAGGAGGGGGTGAATTGCTAATACTTCATCCTCTTCCTCACCATTTGTCTTGGACATCATGAATTTTGCTATTCATTCCCATTCGACACTGAGGACACGCCCCTCTCGGGCCAATCTGCCGGAACTCTTCTCAAAACTTGCTTCCATTCTCGAGCCAAAACTGTCGAAAGAAAGACGACTAAAGATCACCAACACGAAAGCTCCGCAACCTGTCCTGCGCGAGAACACTGTAGCTTCAATGAAGATTCGTCGCCTATTCCTCGCCGTGTACACAATCGTCAAGCGATTGGGAAATCGCTGACCCCAAGCTGATCGCTGACTAAACCCTAGAGAGCTTCTCTCTAGGTGGCGGCGTGGCGCACATCAGTATACGTCTCTATAAGTTTTTTGTAAATGGTGCTCGAGTTGTCACCTTATTATTATTTGCAGTGGTTTAAACCTATTTAGTCAATTTAAGATTTAGTTTAGATTTATAGGTTTTTTGGGGATTTGTTAAATACTCCCTTCCTCCTTTGTAACTTTGCCACTTTTTCTTTTTTTGTTATCCTAAAAGTTTTATCACTTACATAATGAATTAATTTGCTGTTCCTATTGTTTCTCTCCCATTTGCATGAATTTCAATCACACTTATTTTTACATCATTATTTTCTGTGCAAGCTTTCAAAATTATAAAAGATGGAGAAAGTATTTAATATTGTATTTGTTGTTGCTTAAATTATGAGCCCATTTGGTAACACGAAATCGGTTGATTCAGCCGGTTCTGCTGAAATTTATGAAGTTTTGGCTGAAGTGGCTGCATTTGCTGATTCTGTTGATTTAGAAAAAATAATTTTAAAATATATTTTATTAATGAAATAAATAAAAAATTATATGTAAAAATAGTTAAAATGACCATCTACAGTAACTTCAGCCAATAAGCCAAAAAAGTAACTCCAACCTTGCTTGTACATAATATGGGTATTAACTATCATATGAATAACAGTAAGACTAATTTTTTATCCTTATGAAACAGATTACATGGATGCAATATACATCCTAGATGTTAGAGGAGTTGCCCCCGGCAGGACAAGAGCATTATGATATATGGCGAGCACGTGTGCCATTGATATGTTTTGACATTGTTGAGCTTCATTTGCCTGATCGTGTATTGCGGTAGTTTGGCTATGAGCAAGTCATTTCAGCAGCTGTCGACACATGTGTAGATCTCCATAAGCTGGATAGGTGTGAGAAGCCTACAGAGGATTGGTCGCTCAGACATGTCCGATACGTGACTATATGGGAGAGGCGAGCGGAGCTTGTTGTGCCGGGGACGCCGACATTACTCCCATCTGTTTTTGTAGACTACATAAGATGGTATTATTACAACATCACGCGGTTGTTTGTCTCTCCTTCTTTCAGACTCCCTACTCACCATTATCAACCTAGTTCCATGGCTTTGCACTTGACGATGAGTGTGCTACTAATCACTAAAGTAATTCATGTTCTTTATTTAACATTTATTTATTTAAAAATAATTATAATTCATGTTTCACATTTCAGACACGGGCTTTGCAACGTATACATGAACGAGCGGCTGCCACAGTTAAGGGTGTGCACTATCCGGTTTAAACCAGAAAACTGAACCGAACTGGACCGGAAAAACCGGAACCGGATTGAACCGGAATGATATCCGGTCCGGTTTTCGGTTATAAAAATTTAGGAAACCGGTTTCCGCTCCGGTTCCGGTTTAAAACCAGATTATTCCGGTTTGAATCGGATTTAACCGATTTTGCTATATTTTTAAAAATATATTTACTAATACTAATATAATAATAGTTATAAAATAAAAAATAATATTCCATACTAATAACAATATATAATAGCAATCAATTTCATAATGATTATAATATATATTATCCTAATATTATATTTATCCATTCATTTTTATTCTCGTAATAATAAAACTAACTAATGTATGTTATTCTAGTCTCAAGTTACTCCAATATTTGCTCACTGAAATTAATTAAAATGAGTTTAGAAAATAATAATAATAAAAGTGATATTTTTAATAATAAGTACTCTATCTTTATCAAATAATTAGTAGATTTTTTAGTAAAGAAAAAAATTATTTATTTAGAAACCGGTTTTTCCGGTCCGGTTCCGATTTTGAATCGGAAAACCGGTTCGGTTCCGGATAAAAACCGGAATACATCCGGTCCAGTTTTCGGTTTCCATATCATGGCAAATCCGGTTCCGGTCCGGTTCGGTCCGGTTTTGAACCAGTACACACCCCTAGCCACAGTGAGTGATACGCATGACGTGGACACGTACTGACAGGTTCTTACGGGCATTTCTTCCTTATGTCTTGGGGCGAGTGGACTATGAGCATCTTATACATATGATCCTCTCTCAGGATTCTATGGTATCCACATCTACTGCAGCAGCAGCTTCTACATCATAGAGTCGGCGTGATAGAGTTGTTCTTCAACCACGACAGCGACGTAGGCGTATGCGTCAACATCCACATCTCCTTGACCAAGACGATCAATAAGACCATGAAAACTTGTAGTCTATCTTCATGTACCCTCGAATGTTGTGGAAGTTTTTCTATATCTGAAACACTTTACCTTTTTACGTACACTAGTAGAAAAAGGGCTTATGATGACACTATTGAACTGATTATTAGTTAATAAATAAATTAATGGTCTAAATAGAATTGAATTATTATTATTATTGAATTAATGATAAACCATCGACTAATTAGATTAAAACGGAATCTGACTATTTTAGTTAAACCGTATAGTTATAAACGAGTTAAAGTGGGCTAATCAATCTCAATTTATACGAAAATCATTAATTCTAGAATTTTAATATTTTAGAAGGTGAATTCGGAGAACAACAACTAGAAGCTTCGGTTAGAATTTATCGCGATTTGAGGTAAGTATTATGTCAACCAAAACTATATTTTACCTCATATATTTATGTGTGATTGTTTATTTGAGATTTTTTTGAGTATTTGATAGTTGATGAGATTTTTATGTAATAATTGTGATTGAGAATTATATTTGAGATTTGAGTATTTTATATTGGAGTGATATTAAATCTATTTTATCTTGAGAAATTCAAATTTAGTATTTTGGGTATTAAATATTTTTAATACCATTGAAACTATTTTGTAGAACCTGAGAAATATTTTTAGAGTATATTTTGACTATAAATGAAAATTAAGATTTTCAAAAATGTGGGGCACCGCGGGAGAAATCCGTAGGTGTCGGGCCACCTTCACGTCTGTTAATGGTGAGAGAGTGTTATCCTTGTGGTGACACTAATGGTGAGGGAGTTTTTGGAAAGACAAGATAAAAGAATGTTTTCATAATTGGGGCACCGCGGGAGAAATCCGTAGGTGTCGGGCCACCTTCACGTCCGTTAATGGTGAGGGAGGGTTAGGACTACTACTACTTGAATTGAGAGGCTTGAGACAAATTAAATGAATTTTGGAGGGTTCGGTAACCACCCCGAACAACTGGGCATCCGATCCTTTTTTATAAAGCAGTAGTAGTACCTATTCTTTTAAGGGTCTTTAAACCTGTAACTTAGGGAGTATATCCCATTTGCAGTAGGGAGGCGTTGACGTCAGAACTACTTAGAGCCAATACCGAAGGCTGTGAGACGAGCATCTCCACTTCAGAGGGCCTGAAGACGAGCTTCATCAAGAGCCATGAGATGAGCATCACGGCCAAGGGCCGTGAGACGCACATCATATCCAGAGACTGAGCCTGCCAAGGTCAAGCGTATTGAAGTCATAACGTTCCCAAGGAGGCCCCGCCTAGCATTCGGAGGACGGACGTCCCTAGGAATTCGGGCCAAGGGTTGTCGCTGAGTATGACGAGGTCGGCCCCCCCGGGTCGTGCACGACGAAGCTGGACGGTCCTAGGGGTCGAACATTCAAAGGGAGCCAGGTCGGGTCTTCATTGACCAATCTTCCAAAGCATGTCGAGCCGAGCATCCAGAAGGAGAATTCCGGAGGTCAAACATCTCTAGGAACTCGGGCCGAGGATTGACTCTTAACATGACGAGGTCGGGGTTCCCCCGGGTCGTGCGTGAGGAAGCTGGACATATCAAGGCCGAGGTTCTAGGAGCTGGACGTCCGAAGCAAGTTGAGCCGGGCATAAATCAGTAGGGAGGATCGTTTCAGAGAATAAAAGGCGTCTATTGTATAAAAGAAGTAGTTAATCTACATCTAAACTTACTTGTACAACAACAACGTCTTTAAAATGATTCTAGTTACAAGTGGAGGCACCACTGCACTGAAGGTCTAGATTTAATTGAAACAGTAGAATTTATATGTACGAGGACTTGTGATGATATCATGATATTCAGATGACAATGGAAGACTATTGTCATTTTCCCAATGTTTAAACAAATAATAATTGCAATACAGTGAGGCTTCTAAAGTAGCAAGATTGATATTGCTAAATTAAATCTTTAAGACATGGGTGAGCAATGAAACAATGTGCATGTGGAATACTCAAATCAAAGCAAAAATTAGCAAGAGTAAGCAACTTTTGTGCATAATGTTTCTTTGAAATGTGAAACCAGAAAGCAATAATCTGCATGAGTAAACATTTTTTAACATAACGTTTCTTTACACTGTGATTAAGAGAAAACTGAGCTAAAATTATATCGATGAATTCCTTATAAGAAACCAGAAAGCAGGACCTGCATGAGTAAGCATTTTTGGGCATATGAAATGCTGCCATATGACTATGCTTAAATGTAGATTAACTACGTCTAAAATCAGGTTAACTGGTTTCAAGTATCAACTGTTTCTTTTATATTTTGAATTTTCTATTAGAGAATAAAATCCATAACCTAGAAATTAATTTTTATTAATCAAGCTAGAGGAATAAGCAATACCTCACTTTTCAGCAGTTGGTCTAAAAGTCCTAATTATTCACCTAGCTTGTTAATCAGTTTTGATATTATCAATTCAAAATATTACAGACCACATGAGATTTAGAGCTCTTTCAAACAAAAAATTTAGAATGTAATACTCAGAGAGTAATACAATAACGAAAAATGTATTTCTTGTAAAAAAGTTGACTACAATATAGATTTGACCCAAAGAAACGCCGCACAAAATAAATTTGGATTCATATCTTCTGAAGCAAAAAATCCAACTTAGACATAAATGAGTCTATGGTATAAGTAAGTACTAACTGACTAAATTCTAAAACATACAAGTAATTATTCAAAAGGGTTGCCATGTTGTTTTCTGCAGCTGCCACACAATAACCCATCTTCCTCTTCTATTTCTCTTCTTTTAAGGGGTGGCCTTTAAATAGTCACAACACTTCAACCTGGTTCTTTAATTAGTGTATAAACTTATCCGATTTAAGAAATAAGAACATGAATATATCTCTTGGCATCCTGTTTGTTTGAATTTATACAAAGTACGCATAATTGACATCATAAACAAAGAATTGATACTAAATATCTTAACCTTTATATGGACAGTAAATTAAATAAAAATACTAATATTACTAAGAAAAAGAAATACTACTAATTTCAAATAATCAAACGAATCCAGATTACCATACACACAACAATCTTAAAT